TCCCAAATAATCCCTCGTCAAAATGTCTGAAGCCCAAATGTTGAGTCTGGATCCAAATGTCACCAAGCTCTCTCTTTCTCTCGTAGTCTGCTGATGCAGTGAAGTCAGGTAGTGAGAGGGTGAGAGGGAGATGGTGGACTGAGAAGAGGAAGAAGAAGAACTCTCTCTCTCTCTCTCACGTGCCAGGTACTAACCTGTGAAGTTGGCGCTGTGCTGCAGGTACCTCGAAGACGGAGCTGGAGCTATGGCACTGCAGGTAAGTCTCCCTGGCCTCCGCCCAATCTCTCTCTCTCTCTCCAGTACTATCCTAGCTCCTACTAGCGCCCAGCGCTGAAGACTACTGCTAACGCTGCTAGCGCCCAGCGCTGAAGACTACTGCTAGCACTACTACTAGTCCTGCAGCGCTCCTCCAGAGTGCTGCTGCCAAATCCTGAAGATTACCTCCTGCCTCCTGAACTGCACGTGAAGTGACTGGGAAGTACCTAGGAACTACCTGCCGGCGTGCAGGGCAGGCCAGTCCTATATAGTGCTGGCCCGTCCAGGAGGTTGCTCTTGCCAATGCCGAAACGTGCCAGACCCTGGCGTTGAAGCTCAACCAGGGGTTGTCTTGAAAACAGGCCCAAAATGGCATGTGCTAAAACCCTGGTTTGGTGCCTGAGTTTCAGGGCGGGTCGATCTGATGAGGGCCTGAAAATGGCCCTCAGTTTCAGGCTGAAAAGGCTCAGGGCCGAAAAGGCCCTGATTTAGGCTGAAACTACACAGGGCCTATCGGCCCTTGTTTTCAGGCTTTCAGGCTGAAACGACACAGGGCCTGTAGGCCCTTGTTTTCAGGCTTTTGGCCTGAAAACGTCACGGGCCTGAAAATGGCCCGTGCAGCCTGTTGCAGGCGCAGCATGTAACAGAGAGCATGGATTATAATTCCATGCTGCTCATGTCAATTCTGCACTGTAGAACTGATTTGTCTCTTTCGAAATTGATAAGGAATGATTCTGTATGGCACGTTTTACTCATTTCACCGGAATTTATCCTCTTGCCATGTCCGTGCGGGCTTCTGCCCGCACTGGGAATGCTAGTTGATCTATGTTTCGGCACTTTGTTGGGTACCTATTGCCTCTTCCGAACACGTGCCGGCAGTCTTTTTGGAACTGCTTTTTCGTTGGGCCCACACAGGACATGCGCCCTTTTCCTAAACCTGGCGCCAAGGTCTCACGTGGGATTTGTCACGTGAGACCTGGGTTAGTCTTTATATCAGTTTATAAAGGATATAGATTATCAAAAAAAAAGAAAAAAAAGGAACTGAACTGACGTTACCTAGTGTGGAGACGGAGACAGGGCCACAAGGACCTGTTTTTTCTTTTTTCAGTAAGAAAAAAGCATCTCAGGTTGTTGTTCTCTGTGAAGATTGCTGATGGGGTCTATTTTCTTGGCAAAAGTTGGCATTCAATTCCCACGAGCCCTTTTTCCTCCTCGGGTTCCTGTCCACTTTTATTTTGTTTTGTCTCACCCATCCAGCTGATCTCAGGATTCGTGTCTGTGTGGCATGTATGATGTTGTTTGCTGCCACTTAATTGGATACAGGTCATTCATCAGAAGCCAAAGAAGTCGTTGGATGAAATCATGCATGATCTTTGCCCGGTGAGTTGTTGCTGTGATGCTGCTTGAAGTACCAGGGAGTATTTCCTCTCTGCTGGGAGCCTGGGATGTAAAAAGTAGTGCTAACGAGTTTCAGGGATGTCATCCATGGCCTCCTCCCCCCCTCACATACATCCAGCATAACACTTCCTAGCTATTACAGCATAATTGTGTTATCTTTGTGTCGTGCATGTCCTTTGCCTTCGGCTTCTTTCATTTGTTATTGTTTTTGTCTATGGCTTTTATGCTAAACATGGCGGTCAGTGTATAGTAATATTTGTCACTGGTTGTTGTGGAGGTTATCTATCTTGAATCTCACCGTAGCAGAAAATCCACGTATGTATATTAGCTGAGTCGTCTTGTCTGCGCATCTCTCACACAATTATGTGTAGTCCCTGGAGACTGACCTCTCCCCTCTTTCACCATCAGGAACAAGTGCACTGAACCAGGAAAGAAAGGGGACTGGTGAACTGAACTCAGCTTTCCTGGATTTATCTCTACTCATGCAGTGACATCCATAGTTGGTGTTGGAAATCTCTAGAAATCAGGGCAGCTAGTGTGGATGTACGGGCCCCTCCTAGTTTTCCAAAATGTCCAGACTGGACATGCAGTTCGGACATCCGACCACATGGGTTGTCGAACGCGGCACAAAATAGAAGAACAGGGGGGGGCGGTGGGGGAGCCGGGAGTAAGCCTAAGAGACCCTCAGACAATAATTATGTTTACCCCCATGCCCTCTCCCTATGTCAATGGTCGTCAACCCTCAGACAATAATTACGTTTACCCGGGCGCCCCCTCCCTATGTCAATGGTCATCAAAAACCAAGGACAATTAGAAAGAGAGGCATGACAGATCAGACTCTGTTATGGAAGAAGTCTGAAGAACACAACCATGTGAAAGAGAGTTGTAAAGGCCAGACCCTGATATGGAAGAACGGAGCATAACTCGTCCCTATCTTCTCTCTTCCTGTCCTTGGTGCATGCTCACTTACACAGCGATATTCAACTAGACCCGATGTCGAGTTCACTTTTTTTTTCTCATTCTTTTCATTCTTTCTGTCACTCTTTCATGCATGTGCTTCATGTCGTTGTCGTCAAAACTGATTTATCATCACCCTTCTGTCCCACCACTCCAGTGATACCGAGCTCATAAATTATGATAAATATATTTTTCTTCCTTCTGCAATAACCGGCTCCATATGCCTCATCAAATGTCTAAGGGCCTTGCCAAGCCGCGACCCTGGTCTCAGGCCGTGAGGTACAAAAGGGCAAAAGACCCCTCCGAAGTGGCTCCAGGGCCTGAGCGCCCGACGGTTGACTTTGGTCAACTGCCCGAGGCCCAAGAGTCAAAGTCCATATGGACCCAGCCCAGGCCGCCGGTCAGACACACACTTGTTTGTATGAAGGTACCACGACAGTATTCAGACCAAGTGGAAGTCTGGAACTGTACGCAATCCAGGCCCTTGGCTGTGATTCAATCTGAGCCCCCATGGGTGGGAGACCTGAGGCAGGTCAATCCGGTCCAACGCTACATAAGACACTGCCTCCAGGGAGTCAACATTCAGTCTTGCTATGCTGACTTGACGCCGGCTTGACACTGGCTTGACGTTGGCTGGACGCTGGCTTGACGCTGTCTGGACGCTAGCTGGATGCTGGCTGTACGCTGGCACTGTGGACGACGACGCGAGACAGCTGCTGCATGCTGGCGCCTTCATGGTTCGGCAGCAGCCTCTGCTGACGTGGCGCAAGGCCACGCTGTCTTCGATATTGCTGATGTGGCGCATGCCACTCTGTCTTCATTTCTGACGTGGCATTTGCCACACTGTCTACATTGCTGAGTTGGACGCGACAAGGAGGGAGATCGGGATCTGTGGATGATTGAGAGGGAACGGGATACTTACCTGCTGTTGATGTCGATACTGTGCGCTGCTGAACGTCTTCAACGTCTTCATGGGGGAGACCTGTCAAGCTAGTTATTGGGCACTGTTGCTGACAAGGAGGAGAGAGGGGAGCCCGAAGAAGGAGAGGGCATTGTTGGGCTGCTATCTCTGTGGTCATTGATGGTTATCTCTTCCACCCTCTGATCTGTCTATTCCCCCTCTCCTCTCTTCGTCTATTGGTTACCAGACATTGTATCACAGATCACATTCACGATTATTTGGGGACATTATTCAGAACTGAGATCTCTTGTATTTCGACATCTGATGAAGATATTCCAGACTGGGTTCATTACAATTTGGTATCAGAGCATACCTTCTTCGTCGCGATCTGCTGTCAGGTGCCACGTGGCGAACAGGTAAGTGGGATGTGCCGTGCGTGATTGGGAAGAAACATGTTTATTAACGCGCGCGATTATCATCGCGGGCTAGACATTGATTGCCACACATGCGTGCATACTCCCTCGAAGATGATGACGTGGACCTTTTGAAGTGAAGAAGGCGGCATTGCTTACATGACACTTTGTTGCTGACCTGGCAATCAGATACCGGCGAGAGCATCGTTGGCAGCAGGCTGACATGGTGCGCTGCCTATGTGGCATGGCGCAGGGGTGCTGACGTGGCATCCTAAGACTGGCAGGGTATTGTCTGACGTGGCACGTACCTGTGTCGCGACTTACCTGCTGACGTGGCGCTCCACACTCCAACGGTACTGCGATCTGACGTGGCATATTAGTGGTGGATGAGTTGGCACGTGGATTGCTGACGTGGCATCCCTCCTTAAGGCCTTACTGGCCATTGGTGCTGACATGGCAGACTCCGTGGAGCTGCTTTGTTGGCATTCCAGGGGTGACACTAGGCAGATTTTGTGCGCTGCCGTGGGTGAGGAGTTGATACTTGCACTTGCCTGCTGGCGGGCGGTACAGCTTCATGATTGCTGTAGTGTCATGCTCCGGCCCTTGTGTCTGGCCGCATTGGTTTCTGCAGATGGTGCAGTCAGAGAAAAGAATGCTGACATATTGATTGTGATGTTGTGTTGGCTGACTTACTCACTTGTCTGGGCTGTCTGTGGTTGCTGTGCATACTCACCTATGTTGTTGTGTCTTGATCACACTGGTCGTGGCTGCAGTACCTGTACACTCTCGTTAGGGCGTCATCACACATACGACAGAACAAAAGTAGAGTTATGAGTAAATTGATAGTTGTTCCTTCTTTATTTTTGTTTATTTCTTGCTGTAACACAAAGGAAACCAGGTGTGGCTGTGGAATTTATTATTGTCTTGTAATTATTCATTGTCCTGCAGGCACACATTTTGAAAATGTCTTTCTTCTGGAATTCTTTGCGCCTTTCTGTCTTGACTCGCTTCATTCCTCTCTTCTGCTTCCCTGTCTCCTTCACCTTCTTCGCTGATGAAGAAAGTACTGAATTGAGAACCCGAGGCCAAAATGCAAATAGACGGCAGGAGATGTTGGGTCGTCTCCATCAGTTGATCGCCGATTTACATGATGCTGGAGCCGATGCTGAGGAGCACGTGCGCAGCCAGTTCGGTCTGCGAGCAGCAGAAGCCGAACTAGAGCAGGCTGAGACGGCTGTTCAGATGATGGAAGCAAGTACTCATGGATAAATTTGTGATTGGTCAACTGACGGAGATAGCCAATAGCGGGGCCAAAAGAAAAGAAGAGGGAGAAAGAAGTGAAGAGACGAAAAAAACTGAGTTGTCTGAAGAGATCATGTTGGAAAACATCAGGCAGTTGAATGCAGAAAGAAGAAAGATGGAAGAGTGCTAGAGAAGGAGAAAGGAAAAAGAACAGCAAGAAAGAAAAGTGGATGAAATCAAACAGAAGTTTCATATTGAAGGAGCAGAATCCGACCTTGCATCCATTTTGAACACGATGATGGCTTACCTCGCCCACCTTGAGATGAAGATTGACAATAACACCGCCGCGATATTCATTGTCCTGCAGGCACACATTTTGAAAATGTCTTTCTTCTGGAATTCTTTGCGCCTTTCTGTCTTGACTCGCTTCATTCCTCTCTTCTTTCTTCCCTGTCTCCTTTCTTCGCTGATGAAGAAAGTACTGACTTGAGAACCTGAGGCCAAATTACAAATAGACGGCAGGAGATGTTGGGTCGTCTCCATCAGTTGATCGCCGATTTACATGATGCTGGAGCCAATGCTGAGCAGCTCGTGCGCAGCCAGTTCGGTCTGCGAGCAGCAGAAGCCGAACTAGAGCAGGCTGACACGGCTGTTCAGATGATGGAAGCGAGTACTCATGGATAAAGGGAAAGACAAGGTGGTGATTGAGGAGGAGGCTAAGGGGAAAGAAAAGAAAGAACCCCAGGAGAAGCTCATGAAGGATGCAATGAAAAGAGTGACACCGGAAACTCCCGAAAGTTCCAAGAAACCGGCGGAGAAGAAAGAAGAGCCCGCCGCGAAAGAACCGGCCAAGGAAAATGAGAAGCCGAAAAGAAAAGAAAAGGTGAAAATGAAACTTCCCTTTGCCTACAATGGAAAGAGAGGTGAGCATGTGTTGCTCTGGATTGCTGAGATCTAGACATATTGTGGGACTGCACCGGTGGAGCCCGAAAGCCAAGCGGCTTTCACGACTTCATGTCCAGGAGAGACAACCAAGGAATGGGTGTTGTCTAAAGCTAACGCTGCTGGCTTCGAAGGCATAGGTGAGTAGGCCAAAACATTGACCCTTCGGGAATTCCTCCAAAAGATTAAGGAGAAATTCCTGGACAAAACGACGGCCGACAAGGCCTTCGACGAGCTCACCACTATTGGCCAAAAGTGTTGGACGACTGTGGATGCATTGTCACGTGAGGTCGATCGGTTGTTGCAGGTACCAGGTCTGAACCTGCAGGACAATCAAGTCCTCTATATCTTCTCGCGAGCTTTGCCAGAACCTATTCGAGGACATCTCGTGGCTGAGGGCAAATCCGGTAAGTACAACTATAGACAGTTTCGTGACCTCATGCTCGAGAGGGAACAAATGACTGCTTAGGTAAAAGGAACATACGCATCGGTTGTAAAGAATGGTTCAGTTGGCGGGTACGGTAAGC